GCTGAAGTTTCTTACACTTTTTCTATAAATAACCTCTACAAATGCTCTTGAGAAAGCAAGGCGAAAATTCAGGGTCTCTGAAGAATCTGCTCAGATCCAATCCTCTCCATAAATTAATTGCCTGGTCCTCCGGAGAAAAGAGGAACTGGCAACGCCGTACAAACTGGAAGAGTGCCTGCTTCCTTCCAAAAAGCTCCACGTAAAATACACCCATGGAGGGGGCGGCCGGATTAGGAGGCTTTGAGCTGCTGAAATCCTGCAGAGGAGCTCTGAGAGCCGGGGGATGGGAGCAGCTGGAGACAATTCAGCTTGTGCAAAGGTCCAGACTCGCAGGTCCTGGGGGAGGACGTGGGATGCACAGGACACGATCCTGCTCATTTCTAAACCCCCACAATGGGTCTGGGAGGGCTGCGATGGTAGTTTGTGCTGGCTCCTGTGCTAAGGACGTGTTTTATCATTAACCAAATACCAGTGGACGGGATTTCGGCCTGAAACCCTGACTGGGAAGGCAAGAAGCATGTGTACAAGTTAAGTTACAGAAATAACACACAGCTCCTTCATACTCCTAAGTTTCTTAGGGTCTATAGCTGTGCCAGTGGTACTTTTCGTTTGAGTGTTGAAATTTTGAAAGCAGTTTCTTTTTAATTCAATTAAAATACATTAAACAAGTGGCTTGCAAAGCCAAGTGTGTTAAGCACAGTGAGGGGTGGTTTGGATCAATACGGACCTTTGTAGAGAGGGAGTTATCTTGATCTGATATCAAATTGAATTAACAACGGTGCCTGGGAAATATTGTTTCTCGACGTTATTATTTTCTTCTGCTTCGGTATCTCGGCCAAACCATGTGCTGTTTGTTAACCAAGAACCTTTAATCAGATCAGCCCACAGCTGGGCTCAAAAATTGCCCCAAATTAGTTGACATTTTCAACACAAACACCTATACACACCTCCTCTTCTTGCAAGCGGGGGCTCGCGGGGCTGCTGCCTCGGTAAGCTTTTGCTGTCTTTTAAAGGCCATGTGAAACCTCCCTGCTCAGGGGGTTGCAGAGCCTTAAACACAGCAGGTCTGCGGGAGGGCTGAGGGGAAGGAGAGGGACAAGCTGCCTGCTGCAGTCTGGGCTTTACCCTGTCCTGCCTGCTCCCAGGCAGCCTCCCTGGGACCATTTGGCTGGAAAACTTAATCCAAGCCATTTTCCATTTCAAAAGGGCTATTTTTGATGTTTGGTTTTGTTTGTTGTTTGGTTTTTTGGGTTTGTTTTTTTTTTTTTGCAATGGCATTTGCAGTCTCACTGCTGTGGGGTACTTCAGTGAAGTGCCCTGCTGCAAGAGCTTTTAACCGAAGCAAACTCTTTTGTGGGAAGTTTTGAAGTATCAAAAAAGCCCTCATTTTTATATCTCTTTCCTCATTTTCATACGGCTTTCCTCATTTTTATATCTCTTTCCTCATTTTCATACGGCTTTCCTCATTTTTATATATCTTTCCTCGTTTTTCATGCCGTGTCAGAACAGTGAATGAATTGATGTGAGGATATTGGTTCCATTTCGCTTCCGCTTCTACTTTGCACAGATTTATTTTGTAAAACTAAGTGTCTCCTCTCTGCAGTGAAGAAGTTTGACACTGGTGTAAGAGAAAATAAATGCTCGGTGCACTATTTTTGCAGCTGTTTTCAATAACTAAGAAAAATTATTCCAAGCTGACAAAAGGCCATAAAAAGCAGCTGCTTCTTGAATTAGGATGTTGGGGGCTAAATCTACAGAAGGATTTGTGTCCCTTGCTAGCAAAACCATCCTGGAGCCCTGAGTTAGGAAACTAAGTCCTCTGTATGAAACCAGGGGAGAGGGAGGGACATCAGGTGGATGGATCCTGAGCCAGTCACGACTCCTTGCTTGCTCCTCTGGCCCTCAGAAAACAGAGTATGCTGATGGGAAGGAAAATCATTCCTGATCCTGTGATAAAGCCCCTATCTGATATGGCTTTGCCTTACGCCGTTGCTTTCACCTCAAAGCAAACCAAGTACCTGGAGCGGTGTCAGGGCAGTGCTGAACTCCCTCTTGCCTGGCCCAAATCGTGCCACCATCAGTCCTAACGAGGTCACAAATCCTGATTGCCAGAGAAAACCCCCTCTCTTCTGGTAGTTCGTGTGCCTTCCCACCCCCGGCTCAGATGTTGCACGGATGCCACACCACGAGCGCTTATTTTCATCGCTTTTTTTGGTGGGACTGTGGTTTTTGCCCAGGGGAAGATCCGAGGCACTGTCCTGCACAGAGCAGCCTGGCTGTCCCTGGGCTCCTTGCTCTTGTTTTGGGGCTTTCCAGGTGCCCTCTGCTCCCGAAAGCCACCGCTTGCTTTCAGGCAGCTCCTCTTGCTCACCAGCTGAGCTGAGTTTGCCCCAGAACAAAGCCCACCTGTGGGCTGCTGGTATATAAAAGGGCTAATCCCCCCCCCCCCCTTCTGTGCCTTTTTTTTGGGGGGAGGAGAGGCTGTGCCATGGTGGCTGTGGAGGGCGGTGATCTTTGGTGAGGTCTCCCTCTTGGATTGATATGCTCTGTCCCAGGCAGCAGCAGCCAGGTAAGCAAACACTTGCTGTTGCGGACTGGTTTGGGTGGAAATGGATGTGTTTCAGCAAAGGCACACTCGCTTCAAGGTAGGATTCATGATAGGTTTGAGAAGAGAGTTTAATAACCCAAATTCAGGTATTTCAGCTGAAATATGCCTTGCTTTTTCAGACACTTGAAACTTTCTACGGTGAAGTAGTTTTCTCCCTTGAAAGGAGAACACCCCCCCCTGCTTTTCAATGTGAATTAAAATGGATTACAGTGTGATCACTGCTAGTTATCTGCTATGCTTGTAAACTCCTGGAGCTCCTAAATAGGGACTATTTATCAAGCAGTGTGTGGGCTGGTATTGTTTTCTGGATACAGGCACCGTTATTTATTTGCTGTAAGAGCTCTGTCACAGGTTTATGTGCCCTGTCTGCAAAGCTGTACCTCTGAGGCTGGAGTTTCAGAAATATTACTTGAAATGGTTTCAGAATGGCGGAGCACTGCACCATGCGATGATTTAATTTCCAAATGAAAAGGATTTACTCTTGCGTGGTGTTACAAGGTCTGATTTAATGACAGTTATGGTCTTCTGCAGAGGTGCCTCAATTTAGCTGTGTGTATTAAATGTTGCAAAGTCAATTCTGGGGTAAATTTGAATGACTTTGTGCATTTTAATGACTTATTTGAATTGCTCTTGTTTTTTGTAAATTAATTCTTTTTCA